AAGTGCAGGAGCAAAGCCATACAGCTTAGTTAAAGCAATAGCTCAGCTAAAGATTGATGAGTTTGCTATGTGCCTCTAGAGGGAGACAAAGCACCACAACAAGGAGGCATAGGTTACATTTATACCTACAGTGCTCCTGAAGCATTTAGTGAACCTACTATGTATACTGATGGTAGAGCTCCCCCTGTTAGTATAGGTACTTCACCTCCCCAAGAGATGATAGCTATGTTGATGGTAGAAACCTTTCAGTCAACGTAGCACTGTCTACACCAGGGGTTAGGTTGGTATAACCAAGTTGCTTATGGGGTTATGTTAACCATGAGTAACTCAGGATATTTCTACACTGCAAAGTTAATTTGAAATATCAGCCATTATTTTGAATTAACTTTAATAGCATCTATACATGCAAACCGCATTTCGAAATTAATTCGAAATAGCGGAGCGCTTAATTTGAATTTGGGAAACCTCATTCTAGGAAAAGTAATGCCAAATTTGAAATGGCTATTTCTGATTAAGTGCTGTGTAGACACAAAAGCTCATGATACCATTTAGATTTGTTTTGTTAGTCTCTAAGTTTGCTGCAGGACTATTAGTTATTTTTAAGGTTTTTTCAGTGTCTGGAGGTGTTCAGGTTCAGGGACTTGGTTTGGGGCCATTGTGTTCATTATGGACAAAGGACTCCACTGTCATTTAACAAGTGCACTTTACTTCACTTTTTTTCAATCTTCAGGTAGCACTTATGTTATAACCAAAGAGAGGGATATTATCCACCCTTAATATATTTGTACTGTTCTAATAGTATCCTCAATAGCACTGAACTGTACAGAATTATGTTCCTTACTTATGCTGCTTTTTATAGGAGCCTCATTCAAGACCTGATCCAAAGTCCAGTGAAATTGGTGGAAAGAGCTTTGGGTTTGGCTCTCAATAATACAGGATTGAGAGTAAATCCCATTCTTTGGGCCTGGCCTACACTAACAGGGAAAGCTGATTTAAGGTATGCAACTCCAGCTATGTTATTTATGTAGCTGGAGTTGAAGTATCTTAAATTGTTTTGGCATTGCCCATAAAGTGGGAAGCTGATGGGAGCACATGCTTCTGTTGACTTCCTTACTCCTCATGAGGCGCAGGACTACTGGTGCTGACGGGAGTGCCCTCTCAGTTTGAATTAGTGTGTCTTCACTAGACCCAGTAATTCAAACCCCAGAAGATCGACTGCACCAGCTTTGATCTTCTCTGTAGTGTAAACAATCCTTTGGGCTATGTCTACACTACAGGGTTTTTGTGCAAGAAATCTTTTGCAGAAGAGTTCTTGTGCAAAAACTTATTGCGCAAAATCGCATCCACACCTCAAAGCACATTGCTTTTGCGATGTGCTTTTGCACAAGAGAGTGTCCACACTGCGTGGACACTCTTGCACAAGAAAGCTCTGATTGCCATTGACAGAATGGCCATCAGAGCACCTGTGCTTTTTCTAATAGGCTCTTTTTGCACGAGAAACTCCCGCAGAGCATCCACACATGCCTTTTTGTTCAAGAGTTGTAGTGCAAAAAGGAGTTATGCCTCGTAGAAGGAGCTATACCTACACCACAAAAAGCCCTCTGTTCTGTCAATTGACTGTAGATTTTCTTGTGCAAAAACGCGCTTGAGGTGTGGACAGTCCGTGGGTTTTTGTGCAAAAACCTTATAGTGTAGATGTAGCCTTGGTGAATTAATGTGGCAAATACTAGCTGTGGACCAGATCCAGTTTTCCAGGGTTAGTTGAAGCTCGCAATGGCTGTGGATCACTGCTCCCAGACAAGCAGCAGAAAATGGTGTCCTCTCCATGTTGCTTCCCACAACTTCCATTGACTGGGAGCAGTGATCCACAGCCAACAGGAGCTGCAAATAACCATTCCTGTGGAGGCACAGCTAAATATATTGGCAGCGGCTCTCTTGGGGTTAATCCCTGCTATATGGCTATCTGAACTGTATGTCTCAATACATGGTTAGGTGTTAATGCTAATGCCATAAACAGGTGCTTTTGTACCACCAGACAGGGCCGGCTTTAGGAAGTGTGGGGCCCAATTCGAACCATTTCAATAGGGCCCTGGCAGCCAGGATTTTTTTATTGAGGGGGGAAAAAAACACATAAATTAATTTTGGTTGTGCAAAAAAAACAAAAAAACAAAAACAGCACACAAACAACTCATGGCCACTTTAAATCCCCAGCTGTAGGGCAGATTCCTGCCTTCCAGACAAACCCAGGGGCCGACTCCCCCTCCCACAGGGCACAGAAGCCGTCGCACTCCTCCTCGGGGGCTAACGCACCCTCCCACAGTGCGCCCGGCACACTTCCGGGTTTAAGGCGCGGGGCCTTTTTAGGCGCGGGGAATCGGGCCAATCGGCTTAAAGCCAGCCCTGCCACCAGAAGTAGCAGTACCCATATCATCAGTCTTTAGGGATGCAGCTATCCCTGTCTAATATTCGAAAAAGGTTTACAGCAGTTACTGAGCATGTCAGCTAATAGAATCAGATTTCTTGCTGTTTGTCAGATTTCTCTCCAGTATACTCTAGTCTCAGTCCATGGCCATCAGTAAACACCTCTGTGACTGCCTAAAACTTGAGTGTGCTGTCTACATTGCACGTGAATAGTGCAGAACTATGACTTGACTTGAAGTTTAAACAGCACCTTCACACATACTCCCTGCCAAAGGGTGCTGACAGGTTTCCTTGAACCAGATGCCAGTTGGCAACTTGCCATCAAGAGAGATTTTGATTCTCAGAGCAGTCTTACAGAATTATTGATGTAAAGTGTATTTAACATTTTTTTCAAGACCCTGGCACAAAACAGGAAATAAAATTGACAGGAGCCACATAACTGCAAAATTAATTAATGATTGGTAATACTAGCAGAAAAGTTGTCAGAATTGCACTGGAAACATGCTTAAAAGGCAAATGTAACTCAGTTTCTTTGAGATCTCAGGCAAAGCTTTCTAGATTAAGAGGGTATAGTTCTTGGCAGTTCGAATAGACATTTAGCCATATGACACTTCTCATTTACATCTCATACTATTTCCTCCATTTAAATTTCAGTGAATGTTCTGAGGACTTTTTCTGTGGTATTTCTTTAGCTATACAATACGAAAAGAGGAAAAAAATGAAATTACAATATATTTCTGAACGAAACATGAATAGAATAATTAAATCTTGTCACAGTGCTCTATAGGAAAGTGTTCAGTTTATATAAGGCTTATGAAGTTCTTGTTCCATAGTCAGAATAAGACTACTTGAGTCTCATTGTATTGTACATCTGAGATCAAATGTACAGGTGTCACACTGGGCACTGTTTTAAGGATATGCTTTTTAAAATTCAAAACCTTTAGGTAAGAAGCCATGTTCATAGAATCATAGAGTTGGAAGAGACATCAGAGCCATTGAGCACAACCCACTGCTAAAAGCAGGACCAAACCCAGCTAAATCATCCCTGCCAGGGCTTTGTCAAGCCAGGACTTAAACCTTTAGAAATGAAGATTCCACCACCCGCCTAGGTAACCCATTCCAGTGCTTCCTCCTAATTAAATAGTTTTTCCTAATATCCAATCTAAACCTCCACCACTTCAACTTGAGACAATTGCTCCACATTCTGTCATCTGAGAACAGCTGCTCTCGATCCTCTTAGGATCCCTCATTTCAGGTAGTTGAAGACTGCTATCAAATCCCCCCCTCACTCTTCTGTAGACCAAATCCCCCAGACTATTCTCAGAAGTCATGTGCTCCAGTGCCCTAATTATTTTGGTTGCCCTCCATTGGACCCCCCGCCCCCCCAATGCATCCACATCCTTTCTGTAATGGAGGGATCACAGAAATAGACACATTAGTGCAGATGTAGTCTCACCAATGTAGAATAAAGGGGAATAATCACTTCTCTAGTTCTGCTGGCAAAGCTGCTACTAATGCACCCCAATATGCCGTTAGCCTTCTTGGCTACAAGAGCACACTCTTGGCTCATACCCAGCTTCTCACCCACTTTAATCCCCAGGTCCTTTTCTGCGGAACTGCATCTTAGACAGTTGGTCCACAGCCTGTAGCAGTGCTTGGGATTCTTCTGTCCTAAGTGCTGGCCCTTTTGAACCTCATCTGATTTCTTTTGGCCCAATCTCTGTGATGTTAGATCATAGAAAATGTGCAAATAGTGATGAAGTTAAATGTGAGCCCTTTAAACAAGTCTCTTTATAGAACCCTAGGATTTGTTTCATACAGTACCTAGATTTTATAAGAGCATATTTAGTATTGTGAATAACGTGAAAAGCTTTCTGCTGTTGGGAACTCTCCTAATTACTGGAACTTAATATATTATTGATTACTGCAAATAACTCTTGACAATGCTTGAATAGATTGTGTATTCATTAAGAGGCACATTGCTGCCCTTCCATCTTACCTGTCACAAGCTGATAAAAGCTATACTCATAAAAGTTGTATCTGAATGTATTTGTTACATTTTGCTTCGCTGTGTAGGATGACCCATCATATCTTGCTTGCCATTTTCACTGCCGAGATGGTTATACAGTGTTGCATGTTTAGTCAGTCATGAAATAACTGCCTTATGTGTGTTCTTCTCCATCTAAGTTCTGATTTAGGAAGAATCAAGAAGTAATTTAAGCATGAGCTTAACTTTAAGCACATGATTAAATGCATTTTTGAATTTATGTGTTTATGAATTTTTGAATGAATTTGAATTTTGAATTGGGATGCTTTCCTGAATCAGGTCCATAGTCCTTAGAATGGTGTGCAGTTATATTGTATTCTGCATGGACTACTGTATTAAAAAAAATTAGTTTGCAGTAAAAAAATTTTGCTGACCAATTTTTAAGATCCTTCCAAGCTGTGATATAGTTTTTGCTTCGCTTCGGCAGTTCATTTTTCTCTAGAGAAAATTTTGATGGTTATAGAGCACATGTTTTGCCATGTCATTTGGCACTGGTGCAAATGAACTAAATGGTTTTATTTCTGTTTTACAGCAGGAACAACATATATCTTTAGCAAAGGTGGTGGACAGATCACATACACGTGGCCTCCTAATGACCGGCCAAGCACTCGTGCTGACAGACTGGCAATAGGGTTTAGCACTGTTCAAAAAGAAGCAGTTTTGGTACGAGTAGACAGTTCTACGGGGCTTGGAGACTATTTAGAGCTACATATCGTAAGTATTATCAACAAATTGAAAGTTGTTTCTGTATATGTCTTGAATGATCATACCTTTTTACAGTCTAAGTATTTCTGTTAACTACTCTTTATCAAAATTATTGTATAATAAGATCAATAATGAATTAAATAATTATGGCTTATGAGATACAGTTCTATACAGGACTTCAGACAAACTCAAAATGCCTTTATGTAGCATTCCTTTGTATGGCTTTTTCAATTAAAATTGCACTGTAATAGCTACACAAATATAGCAGTTTGCTCCAGTTTAATTACATGAAACAGGACTTAAAAATGTCAGAGGCAGGTGCTTAGAAGGGTTTCAGGTGAAATGTGTTGCTGGAATTAAACTAATCATGATTGAGCATATTCGTTGTTAATAGTGAAAGGAGTCCACTAGTTCTACCATAATTGCGCAAATATTTTTTAGTAAAAAAACAGTTGTCACACTGGGAAATCTAGAAAAGTAATTTCAATTGCCTTCAAGGAAATAAACTAGCAATCAAAATTGAAAACATCTGGATTTTTTGGCAACATAAATGATCTGCTGAAATAAACATAACTAGGATAATGAAAAATCTTGTAGCTCAGATTATTTTCAACTTTGTTTATATATTAGATTGAATTTTATTTAAGAACCTTGATATTTCCAGAAACAAGAATAGTTTCTCTTTAAAGGAATTAATTATATGTGACCAGTTACTCTTCTGCAATGATCCTTTCCAAGCCATACTAGAGTATGCATCTGACGAAGTGGGTCTTTGCCCACGAAAGCTTATGCTCCAACACTTCAGTTAGTCTACAAGGTGTCACAGGACTCCTCGCCACTTTTGCAGATTCAGACTAACACAGCCACAGACTAACACAGCTTTGATACTTGACATACTAGAGTATGTTGCTGAATTACAGTAACTACAGTGTTCAATTCCCTGGTACCTACACACCTTGCCCTTTTGTTTCGGTAAAGGTGCTTTTGCGGTCTAGAGCCTTCTTCCACTTATTGCTTTGGTCAAATAGATAAAGAATGAAACTCTTACATGAACTTCCATTTTTTCATGCTTTTCCTTAATTGTCAGCCATTTTATCCAATTACTTGACTGCATAGTGTAGTCTTAGTTTCAAAAGGCAACTTCTCTCTGATGCCAAAAGATCCAAGAGTTCAAATTTTTCAAGGCAAGCTTCAGAGATCAAGTCTGTCTTGATTAAAAAGTGTGTCTTCCAATCACAGGACAATGTCAGGTGCCCAATCCTTCATCTTTCTTTGAAATCACTGGCAAAACTCCCAGGTTAGCCGTGGGCAGTCAGTTCGAACTAAGGGGATTTAAAAATGGTGCCCGTCCGGAAACATGCAAATGGAGCCTGGGATATTTAAACCCCAGGCTTCATTTGCAACTTCATATGCCTACATTAGCCTCCCTAGTTTGAACTCGGGGGCTAGTGTAGACATACCTCCATAGACTTCAGGGGAGCAAGATTTTGACTTAGCTAAGTAGCTTTCCAGCCAGTGGCAAGGTCCCTCCAAAGCGGGGTAATATTTTCCTTGCTTTGTAATGACTTTGCTGTGTCTTTCAGCATCACAATAGGATATTGGAAAGGGTAGATTTACGATACCAGAAGTCTATCAAAATCCTAACACTCCAGAAATCCCGTTTCAGCAATTATAAGTAAATATTCACAAAGCAAAAATCCTAGTGAAGTTGTAAATAATGTTGCCCCAAAGTGACTTATTCTTTCTTTATACAGAGTTCTAGTAACAGAGCATTAAAATAAAACAAGAAATGAGCATTTTTTGTAGCTCAGAAATATTAACAAAATTCTACAAGTTTGCTGGTTTGAGACAGTAAATTGTAGAGAGCAGTGCATCAGGTACTGGGTTTTAAATGGGCCATGTAGGAATCCAATAAACATTGATTTAATAAATCAAGAGTATATGCTTCTGTTGATTAGTTATATCAGCATTAGTGCAAGATGGAAATATTGAGTAAAACAGAACTTTTGGATCTGAGTTTTACTGCATTTCCAAATTGGTCAGATTTAGGCAAGATAATTATCAGACTACCTCCATTTATCTGATGTTCCTGATGTTATCTTATGACTTCCTCAAGAGGTATCTGGAATAATGCAAATACTGGGCCTAAGTGCAAATGTGAGATTGGCTTGCAGTAGGGATCATGGGTGCACACTCTCTCCAATGTGCAGGAGGGTGGGTCTAGAGTAGGGGTGAGCAATAATTTTTGCCCGAATCCCCAGCCCATGATTGGTCGGGGTGGGGGAACCCCTTTGCTGCCCCCCCTTCCCACTAGGTACCCATGCCCTGGAAGAGTCTTGGCATGCTCCCTGCCCCTAGGCCAATCATCAAAGCCTCCTCTGCTCTTCCCCCTCAGCCCTGTGAGCAGCACACAGTGCTTCAAAGCACCATGTGCTCCTGGCAGGGTGGGAGGAGGCTCTCCTGCCCCCAAGCCAATTAAGGCCTTGGGGCGGGAGAGCATAGAAAGCCTTCTCTGCTCTGCCCTCACCCTGAGAGTAGAGCACGGCACTTTGAAGGGACGAGGGGGGGCGGAGCGGAGAAGGCTTCATGTGCGCCCTCACCCCTAGGCCCTAATTGTCCTGGGAAAGGAGGAGCAGCAGGATCCGGCCCGTGGAGACCTTTTTGCCCACCCCTGGTCTAGAGGCTTGTGTGGCAGCATTTTCCTTTTTCTGGACCCAGCAAAAGCTACATGTATACTACAAGGTATGCGCGTGATTCTCCTTCTTGTGTACATGAGTACCAACAAGTGGGTATATATATATTCAGTGTGCCTCAGATGAGCCTTCACTACTTCCTCCTGTGCTTCTGCTGCTATACTACTATTAATACTCATACTAGCTTCATAAGAGCTCGTGTGGGCACTTGTATACTCCTAGCTTGTAATGTAGGTATAACTAAAGAGTATTTCTAAGATTTCGAGATCTTGTTTGGGAGAATGGACAGGCTAGAATGGGTTTGGGATGGGGAAAACAAATTATCCAGTGTCAGTCTGGTCAGACTTAGGGCAGATATATAATACAGCCAGAATTCTCTCCTTGGCCTTGAAAAATATTTCAAGGTGTCTCATAAGATGCTGCCCTTTAGAATTTCTAGTCAGTATTGCTCCATTAAATGGCACTTGAATCCTGCTGATCTTGTGGCATCAGTGATGTTTGAGCTTCTCCACATTACTTGATAACTTCAGAACAAGCTGTGTTGGAGCAGGAATCAACAGGCTGGATTAGATACGACAGGTCCAAGACAGGCCAGAGAAAATCAGGAGTAAGTTGTCTGGATGCAGGCAGGATCAGGTTACCAGGAGATCAGTAGAAGCAGATCTTAGACGAGAAGTAGCCCTAAAAAGGTAAAACCCAGTTGCATGGACAACTTCTGTTTTTTGTGCTAATTTAAATAGAAGCTGTAAACAAAGCCGGCTGGCCAGCATTTGGGCATTCAGAGTTTAGGACTGGAGTCCTCTATCCAGATTCCATTTCTCATCTAGAAACCTTTGGAAATCAGTAGGTAGGAGGTTGGCACTTGCTAGCTCTTGAGCCTCCTGGATGCCTTGGTTCAATCTGTCCCTGACAGAAGTAGGCAAAACTTTGAAAATTCTCCTCACTTGTTCCATGGGGAAATAGGGAAGGATATGTATGGCAATAAGAACATTTTTGAAGGGCACCACTGTAATTGTATTAGAGGAATCTTAGAATGTATTTTGCCAGTAACTATTAGGAATCAGCATAGTTTTGGAAGGAAAGTTGAAGTGCAACATTTCCAAAAGCACCTAAGGGATTTGGGAGCATAACTCATTGAAAGTCAACAAGATCTGGGTGCCTGTGTCATTTAAGCACTTTTGAAATTTTTTTATCTAAACTTTGTTTTTGCTGTGTGTGGAGTTAGGAGACCTTCATCTCAATTTGTGTGTATAAATTCAGAGTTCTAAATATAAATTGCATGTGTAAAATGTTTTGGACTAAAGTTAAATTTTTTCTCACTCTTGCTGGCACATGCAAACGTTCTGAAAGGTTAAACCATCTGTAACCTAGTAGTAATTCTAGGGTTATACGACATCCAAAAATTACATCTCTCAATGATGTTGTACGAAGAGCAATAACTTTAGTGTTTAATATTAAAACAAAGTATAAATAGGACCTGATTGGGTGATGGAGCATGAAAGCAGCCGTAATTTCACTTAGCAGGTGCATGCCCTAGATCAATACATTTTTATAAACACTTTTATTACAAGTATATATGAAAATCTAGTATATTCACAAGTGGATCTAAAATCTATTGAGCAGGTGTGTAATGGATTTACAGTGACCTTTGTAATAAATGCATATGCATGCACAGACTCCTTTTTTTAAATCAGACATGTTGTTTCAAAGTAAGTTCTCCTCTTACACTTTATGCCTCAGTATTAAAGTACACTGAAAGCTGGTTCTTGTCTGATATTAAGTTCTAGTATTATATAGCATACCTGAACCATCTCCAAAGGCTAAGCATTATACATACTTGTAGAATCGGTTAGGAGGCAATTTTCATTATGATGGAGGTCAAGGAAATTCAGAACTACTGCTTTTAGTCAAAAACCTTAATGTGAAATAGGTTATACAAGCACGTTGGGGAATGGTATTTGACATATGACATTTCAGAATAGAAAGATGAGAGCAGCTTCCTTTTAAAATCTTTCATTTTGAGAGCAGAAGAGAATACCAGAAGTTTGATTAGGGAA